CTAGCCTCTTCAGGTCCGTTGCTTTAAGGGGCCAGGTTTCACAATCGTACAGTAGGGTCGAACGTACCACTGCATTGTACACGCTACCCTTTAGGGCGAGAGTGATGTCGCGCCGGCGCCGTAAGTGTCGCAAGTCAGCAAAAGTGCCTCGAGCTTTTGCAATACGGTTCGTGGTCTCATATTCAATCCCAGCGGCGCTGATAAAACTTCCCAGGTAGTTGAATTTTTGAACTACTTCTAGCTGATCCCCACCAAGGGTCAGCGAAGGATGCGGTCCAGACCAAGCTTGGAGAAACGCCTTGCACTTCGACGGTGCAAAACAAAGCCCGAAGCGATTACTGCCAATGCTAATCTGTCCAGTACAGCTTGGCACATTTGTGAGCTGTCACAGATTGGGGTAATATCATCAGCATACTCTAAGTCAAGAACGCGATCTCGTGGGAGCAGATCCACACCTTCTACGTCGTGTCCTGTGAACGCGCTTGCCATGATTGCGTCAATAGCGAAGTTGAAGAGGAAAGGTGACAGCGGGCATCCTTGTCGCACACCGCTGGAGATATTCAAGGGCTACAACAGCTTGCCGTAAGCCCTCACTCTGCCTAAGCTACGAGCGTATAAGGCTCGGATTGTATTTACATATTTCTCAGGTACACCTTTCCTGAGTAGACAGTCCCAAAGTGCATGTCTATCCACCGACTCGAATGCACCTTTGATATCGAGGAACACGACAACGGTGGGCCGCCAATATATGTGACGGTGCTCCAACAACTGACGCAAAGTGAAGATGTGGTCAATGCAGCCACGACCTCGACGAAACTTTGCTTGCTCTTCATGAATATAGCTTTCACAAGTGCAAGTCAGTCTGTAAAGGATGACAGAGGCAAGCAATTTGGAGGCGATGATGATCAGACTGATTCCTCTATGGTTGCCGTATTCCGATCGTGAGCCTCCCTTGAAAATTGGGACTATGACGGAGTGGCTCTAGTCGGTTGGGACAGTTTTCTGCTCCCACAGTTTCACTAGTAACTCGTACAAATCATCCACAAGAGCAGGTCCCACCAATTTGAAGAGTGCTGTAAGTAGATCATCTGGTCCCACGGGTCTATTTAACTTCAACGGTGCGATCTCAAGTTCGAGTTCTGAGCGAGAGAGTGGATCCAATGGGACATCCCAAGGAGCGGGGCGACCAGTGTCCGGCGCGAAATCTAACAATTCCGACCGATTAAAGTGCGTTTCAAACTGCTCAGTCCAACGCTCCAAGCTTTTTGACAAGTTGTCGGAGATAGTATTGGACGATGCGGCAGGGGGCCTGTTGTGCACTTCAGTGGCATGCCGTGAAAGGCAGCAATGACCAGCGAAAATCGTTACATGAAGAGCTGGGGCGACAGTACGACAAACCTCGACTTTCGATTTTAATTTAGTCACTTGTAGATCTCTCGCTACTCTCTAACAATCAATCGTTTGAGGTGGTTTAGGGTGCCATAAGACAATTGGCGGCTTTGTGAAGTGTGTCGCCACTGTGGAATCCAGGGCTGACTTTTGCAAGGTAGTAACGCGTAGCATAGGGTAGGATGAAATACGTTATGCCCGTCTTGATGGTGCGCAGTCATCACCTATGGCCTCGTCACTTAAGCCTTCAGATTAGGTCATGTGATCGGCCGTCCCACGCCCCTAATGGGTCTCAATGGAATGGAATGACGCAGCACCGCTTGTCCGACTGAGTCTGGTTGCTGCCACCTTTGTCAAAAACACTAACCTTGTGATATTGCCATGGCCAAATAGCGAGTGAATGTTAGATGATCACTGAGTAAAGCGGTACGCTCAGTCAATCAAATATAACCTGTACGCACACTGAGCGGACATGGGATTGCGAGGAGTGAAGGGAATCACAATGCGGTATAGTGCACGAATCATTAGTAGGATCATGGGTCAATTGGTGTGGATATGTCTTTCAACTGGCCCCAGTAGTTGCCAACTTGTTATACTCCTTTACCTTGTACTACCCAATTTCCACAACATTGTTCCTATTATGCCCTCATTTGGTCACTGCACTAATGCGCGTTTTCTTCTCGCCGCAAGGATGGTCATTGCGCTTACAATGCTCTGAGCAACCAACCTACGGGTACAGGAGTATGTTTTCTAACCCGGTACAAACCATTTTTCACATTTTCTTTCCAGGATTCCTAACGTTGCAACAACAGAACATAAGCAAAATCTGTGAAATTTCGATTATCACTTTGACAACTCTCAGAGATTTTCTTAAAAGTACTCTACATATGCTCAAAATGTCGACTATCCCGTGTTAAAATATGCCATCGAAGGGTGAGAAAGCAATGCAGGTGAACACAGGCTTCTATGATTCCGTGACAAATATGTAAATCTACGTAGATCCAGTGCATTGAATGCACTATAAAAGTTGGTATCCTACTCTTCATTTTTGGTAGTCGCTGACACTGCTAACCTCTAGGTAATAACAGCAGCCTGAATGTAATTCTGTGGGTACCAGTCCGTTCGAAACAAAGTGATATTAGCGCTTAATTGAACCTTTTTCAAAATGGGATTCTGGTTGGTACAATTGAACGGTTATGGTCTTGGCCTTTCCTAATGTCAGGCAGCGGACGTACGTACTATGAGTACTCCAAACGAAAGATCAGTTTCAGAGTAAGCTGCGCTTACGGTCAAGGAAGATGAAGTGCTTATTTGTGAACAAGTTGATCTTATTATGCGGTTCAAGTTTGGTTTCTGTGGTTAAAGCGTGACATTCGTATATCGGAGCAGCCCAAAAGCGAGCCACCAAGGTAACACGTGGACTATTTGGTCTTAACTGGGAAGCGCGTCTTCGTTTACCCAGTGAGTTCTGCTCAGAATACAGACGGTCTCGAGGAGTTCTCATTCTCACGTACCGAATACTAACAGAAACCGTTCATCTAAGTAAAACTCTGCTGATCCTTACCCCTTACAAACAATACCGAGCTCACCACAGGAAAGTAGTAGCCCAATACCCCTGCCTGAACTGTAAAAAGCTCCTTTAATCTCTTAGAATCTGTTCACCATGGAATGGTTTACTAGCACGTAGGATGTGGTGCACTACTAATGAGTAGTAGGTATTATAACTGGCAGGCGTGAGGAAATCAGAAAGATCATGGATCATTGAGGATGAAGGGAGTGTAGGGAATAAATCAAGTGTCACACATGCGCGGTGGATGCAGGTACGCAACAGAAAGGCAAATCAAAATAGCACCCGACTTTTCTATGTGCAACTATTATGCAATCTAGACACGGGTTCTGTGATGCATAACTCTTCTGCACCACGCTGCCTTCTGGACGGTGGTGAATGAATCGAATATCACAACATCAAAGTGATACACTCCACACAGCAGTGTGAAACAGTGCAAAATCTAGTATCCTGATATTTCGCTTTTCACACCACAGCATCTTGATCCTGACTTTTTTTTAAATATTTGCCATCCTGTGGGTCAAGCAAGCGATAAATTTTAAATCCCACCAAAACACAAATGAACGAAGTAAGTTGAAGTGGGTTCGGTTTAAGGAAATCTTTTATAGTGTTGCTCATCCCAACACAAGCACCCCAAGACCGCGGTTTCGTCCTGGGTAGGACTCATCAGTTGGAGATAGCCTGAGTTGGGCTGGAACTCAGTTCAGTTTAGTTAATTCAGCGGTAACCCAACGTTCGTCAGTCGGAATACATACAAGAGGAAATATTGGCTAGCAAACACATGAAGGTTTACCTTTCGACTCAGTTACCATCGGTAAGCATCGACACTTAAGACACACCAGTTGTTAGGTGTTTAAGTAGAAGAAACAAGATGGTTTGCTTCAAGGTACAGTGTATCTGACCTACAATGACTGAGGTGCAGGTAAGCAACAGCGGAATATATTGTGACTTGTCATTCACAAGAACAGAACAAGTGTAAGAAAACTGAGTCTGTTTCATCGCATTTGTGCCTGCGTCCGACAAAGGACAGCACAAACCATAGTTAAGATAAATAACGAAGATGGCAATCCTTGAGTTCACTTCATGGGCCTCGTCGTGGAAGGCTGACAGACAGAATCCTTCTATGGGTATTTGGGAAGTTTCGGTATAGTGGTGACACCCTGGAGCGACAGAGTTCACCACATTCGGGTTAGCGATTAGATTCTGATGCCTGTACCTAGTAAATTGTGTCAATCGGATCCTATAAATGCTCAGAATATCAACCGGTATGTTGTGTTCCATTCGAACCGTAATACAATAAGAAGATATAATTGAAGTAACCAATAGTGCTAAGTGTCCCAACATATTCAAAGCAAAGAGGGAAGTATGGAAAGAAAGAACAATCGAAGTAATACGATCACCTTTGTGATTATCTCCTTGGGATCTGTTTCCATGCGCCATAATTCATCGAGAGATGGGAAAGAAACCGGTCCACCTATTGTTACCATTCAGTGGAACGGGCTAAGTTTGTGAAGCTATTGCGCAGGCATGCTACGGAGCAAGATTACGATCAGTTCCAAATCAAAAACTCAAGGTTATGGTTCCTATGCCTTTCACATCTACCTGCTTGTTTCTAGCAAGATATAGATGGGTTGTGTATCAGAAGCATGAGAACTGTGGCAAGCTTTGTGCCTGCACATTTAGTAGAATAGAACAAAGTGTTCAAATATCAGGAAGCGCTCCACCCTACCTGCCGCGTACCCAGATGCCACACACGAGAGGTTAGCAACCAGCATTGGCAACAACCGAAGTGGCCATCCTTAGATTCAATAACTAAGGCTTCATGCCCTCAGTATACTCTGGTCTCCCCTCACCCCATCATGCTTGTACGTGAAGTGAGCCAAACCACCCACATGCTTCGGATCACTATGGAGGCAACCACCTAACCCATTCATCCGATCGGCTAGCCCAATTAATTAGTCATTATTGTTCAGTGTGTACCGAAATGAATTATTAGTGGGTTGCAGGAGTTTACTCATCCGACCACAAGAAATTGGCTAATCAGAACGAAGACCGTAAGGGTGTCTCATTAATTTGCCGTCACGACAGTAGATCCGGGAGGTGTCAATCCCCCATGGTGACCCTGTCCACGGTGAGACGACGCTCGCCACGAAGAAATCTATAGCCATTTTCGGTGGACTTGCGTAGCCAAGCGGTGGCTTTATGTCCGTCTCCCCCCTCCCCCCACGCAACCTCGAGGTTCTGAAGTGTAGACATCAGTCCGGATGAGGATGCGGTTGTCACGGATGAGGAGATCGAAGAAAAGTGTCAGTCGTATATGCCAAACAAATAAGCTAACACATTTTTAATGTTCCAAAAGGTTTTGGGTTTACGATGATAAGTTAAAATATACTGCTACATTCAAAAGTGTCAAAAGAGACAATAAACATGTACAAAGTCCAGAAAACCAACTTTACGCTTGACTTTGCTACCATGTCTGTCGGTTGCATGCAACTGAAGCTGTGTAGGCTTGTGGTCAACTGGAACAGAGAGTTCACCAATGACTGCGTATTCCAGTTAGGGATTCCACCCATTCGAGTTCAATGCGTAAAGAAGGTCATTATAGACCTGGACAGCTGGAACGTTAAATAATTTCGTATGTAGTTGGACGCCGTTATCGAAACGCTCTGGTAAGTGAATTGGGTAGGTATAGAGATGTAAATATACTTATTTGTATATATATATATATATATATATATATATATTTCGTGCTCCTGTGGGGCACGATACGTGAGTCGTACCACGAGACGCCTATCTCATAGGATTCGCGAACACATCCCCAAGTGGTTTTACAAAGGCGAAGCGAGGTGCAGCAACAGTTCCATCTTACCTCACTTACTAGAGTGCGGTCACACAGGAACGGAAAAGGATTTTAGAGTCATCTATACTGTTCCTGAACGTTTCACGCGCGGATTCCGGACGCATCTTCTGTCTATTGCGGAAGCTATCTACATCCGCCACCTCAAGCCAGAACTGTGCGTACAAAAACAGTTTGTACGTCCTTTGCTTCTACCGTGGCCTACAACTTCGGCTATGATTTCCCCTGTACATACTTGCCACTCCCAATGACCCCGTGATTTATTGATTTGTACCCATGAAATTAAACATTTTGTTCAATACGTAGCCCAACCCGGCACATTTAGCACTTTTTCCACATCATGTAATGTTTGAGTCTGATGAGAATTACCGAAAAGAATTCTTTACTCAGATTCTGCCTCCCTTGATTCATTCTAATAAATGGGAATTTTTGGATTGCTGAGGATCAGCATTCCCCGTGATTCAGTCAAACAGATAGCGGCAGACAAAGACGAGAGTCAAGGTCAGCGTGGAAGAAAGGTACAGAAAAGCAGTATTATGGGTTGGTATTCGGCGGTGGTGGTTGCGGTCGCTCGTCTACGTGCTTACGCAACGCCGCTAGTTCGTTAAGCAAAATGGCCAGTAGGTCATTTTCCTGGCGCGTTATACGAATAGCTGCCGAACTTTCACGGGATGGTCAGGTTCGCCGGTGGCAAGAAATGGAAAGTAAGATGCTGTGTTATAAGTCTACAGGTGAATTCCACACAGGCACTACACATTTTATTATGCTGGACATAAACTGACACAGTCTGTAGTGCTACACTGGTTTACGATTATTCTATCCCTTGACAGTTCTTTTTCTGGTGGATATAATACCCTACACGAATGAGTACCTAATAGTGTTATTGTCCTATTTTAAACCCGACCCTAACTGAACAAGTATGTCAATGGACTTCGTAAGGTGCGGTAGGGAATTCCTCCACTCCTGACGGCTGCAGAAACAGTAAACGCGTTGTGGACGCAATCTGCTCCCAAATTTCAGAGGGTTTTACCATTAAGCAATGTTCCAGCTGTTGCTTTCCCGCCTCCAGGACTCATCCAAATCCCTTTTATGGCTGGAGCTGTAGTGCAGAAACTGATGTCTTTGCATAACCACACCTCCTCGGGAACCGATACCATTCGTCCAGAGGCAGTGGGAGCAGCAGCAAAACAACTTATGGAACCTTTGACCCAGTTTTTCAGCACTCCCTAGTCCAGAACAAGATTCCTGCGATGTGGAAGCGTGAAATAATAGGTTCGATTTACAAAGGCAGAAGCAGGACTGAGCCTTCAAAACACTGCCAAATATCTCTTCTTCCTGTATTGTCCAAGATCATGGAATCCATTGTTACCGATGAGTTGGTGTGCTAGCTAGCAAATTGTAACCTTATTGCTTTCGAGCGACATGGCCTTCATCGACAGCGGTCGTGCACAACGAATTTCTTAATAGCACGGAAAAGTTGGACAGAGTCAGCTGATGCTGAAGAGGCCGCTGATGTGATTTACTTAGATTTGTCCAAGGCATTCGATTATTTTGATCAGAGATGTTCAGAGTCCGGCCCGCGGGCCAAATGTGACCCGTGTTAAAATTTCAACTGGCCCGCGGCCTCATCATGAAATAATAAATTCAGGTGTGGTTTTTTTCGTGCGTGTGTAATTTTCTTGCTTATCTTAATGTTAGACTGAATATGACCCGACATATTTTTACCTCACAAAATGTGGCCTTCGTTGCAACAAGTTTGGACACGCCTGGTTTAGACCATTGGATTCTCCTTTGCAAGGTCCAAATTTACAGGAGTGGTGACCATCTCTTGAGCTGAATCGACACCTTTCTCCTGCAATTAATTGTCAATGGTACTAGTAATGGTCAGAGTCCGGAGTTCCTTATTTGACCGCATGCCAGTCGAGTGTACCCCAGGTCTCAGCATTGGCGTCACAACTGGAAACCGCTTCAAATTTCCCTGTTTGCTGACACTATTAAGATATGGCGCAGGATTCAAGCGAATGCTGATCGGAATGTACTTCATGGTGGCCTAGATATGGTACATCAGTGACCAACCCGCAATCTGATACCCTTCGACGTGGGCACATGCAAACTGCTCTCTACACAACACCAGGGTACCTATTCCTACAAGCCTGGAACTCAAGTACTGCAGCGATCCTCCTTCAAACGCGACCTTAACGTGCTGGTTGGTTCAGGACAAATTGGGTTGTTACAACCAATCCGAAAATGCAGGAAATTCTCGTAGCCAACACGTCGGCCTGTGACGACGAGCTTTCGGACAAATAGACATCTCTATTTGCCGACAGATGCTCATTGTTTATGTTCGCAATTCAAACTTGGCACTGCACTGGACAAACCTCAACGCAGGGCTTCCAAATATGGCATTGGAATGCGCCACCTTACATACGAGTAGAGGCTAGAACGATTGGGAGTATTCAGGGGGCGTTATCACCGATTACGAGGCGACTTGATAATAGCATACTTGACTTTACACAATCCAAATTATGTGTAGCGTATTCTTACTGAAAAGCAGCACTAGCATCAAAATTAGGGGCCACTCCTTGAAAGTAGCGGAAAAATACAGCCGTCCGAAGTGGCGTAGAAAGTTCTTTTCTATTCGCGTGTGTCACCTCGCATCGGTTGTTTCTGCACCCATGCTAGCCATATTCAAAAATCGGTTGGATGACGTACTCCGCCACTTATATTTTGTTCCTTGACCCTACTCTCCATCCTACTCCCGGAAAATACCTCGGATTTAATTTTTTGGCCTATTGAAGCCATACAAACACTCGGAGTGCAGCCTACAGCATTACATACGATAAGTCCATTCTGTGGATAGTAGAACAGCAATTTTTCATTAACCTTTTTCGATAGCCCACCAGACTACCCAACGGGGCTCGTAAAGTAGTGATTCTTAATCCGTCTATAGTCACTGATGATTCTTGATTTAACTATGGACTGATAACTACCTCCGTTAGCAGAAAACACTGGATTTGGGGTTTTGAATGGAGAATAAGAGGAATCCAATACCAATCCTAACTGCGGTTCTTATCCACTATTCCTTATTCCTGGCATTTTATACCCACGAATCCAACGCTCCGACCTGTTACAAATGCCTGTCTATAGATATAACACGAACGAATGAAGGCGGCCCGTAGTACGGGAGGACTTTCAGGTGGTGCGGTCCGGTGACTGTTCTGGCTCAGGATGAAGTGTTGTGGAATTCACTGTGGGTTCATATGAAGCGACTATTCTGTGGGCGGATTAAGAATGCACAGTTTCAATGCGGACCACGATTTTACATGGAGTGAGCCTTGCTCTGGCCGGTCACTGGGATCTTTTGTGTGAGACAGGTAAAAATTGGGCGTCTGCGTCTTGCCACACTGCAGTCCAAGGCTAGCTT